GAGGAGAAGAAGAAGGAGGATGAGGGAAAGGAGGAGGAGGATAAGGAGAAAGGAGGAGGAAGGAAAGGAGGAGGAGAAGGAGAAGGGGGAGGAGGGGAAAGGAGGAGGAGGATAAGGAGAAAGGAGGAGGAGGGAAAGGAGGAGGAGGATAAGGAGAAGATAAGAGGATAAGGAGAAGGGATGAGGATAAGGAGAAGGGAGGGGGAGGATGAGGGAAAGGAGGAGAAGGAGAAGGAGGAGGAGGGAAAGGAGGAGGAGGATAAGGAGAAAGGAGGAGGAGGAGTAAGAAGGAAGAGGAGGAGAACGATATTAGTGCTACCAACATACTATTAGCTGCTGTTATTTCAGTGCTACGGAGTCAATTCTGGCAAAAACAGCAGTCACAAATTGGAACATTTAATAGAAGTAGAAGAAGCAGAATTCAGCAATAGGTATATTAATTACATTTGAAGTAGAAGAACAGGAGGTTGGTAGGGTAAAGGAGAGCAGCTACAGCAATAACAACAAAAACAACAACTACAACAAGAACAAAAACAACAGTAGCAGCAGCAGCAGCAGCAGCAGCAGCAGCAGCAGCAGCAGCAGCAGCAGCAGCAGCAGCAGCAGTAGCAGCAGCAGCAGCAGGCCTTTAGAATTTATGACAGTGTCTGACACGGTACTATTGGCTCTGGGCGGCCTTTCAAATGCCTGGAAAAAAGTAATACTAAGAAAGAAAAGAAAGCAGAAAGCCACACAGAAGCTCTGCTCCCTCAGCAATGGTTTGAGTGAAGTTGGCTTCATAATAATATATTATTATTATTATTATTATGCAAAAAGAATTTGTAAGTATCAAAGAATGCGCCAAATTTCTTTAAGGTGCGTGGCTTGACAACTACTACTTTATTGAGTTTTCTCAACAATAGAAGAGCATGTCTGTCTCACTCTGTGTCCTATGGCTACAACAAGGCAATACGACAAAAGTTACCATTGTTTTGAAAGACTCTACAATAATCGAATTTGACTTGATGGCTTTCAAAACTTCTTACTGAGGCAAAGTTTCATGGTAATTGTGGTAGCATCGTGGTACGACGGCCTTCAACTCCTGTAGGTGTTTATACTGTTTGGCAGTTATCTTCAATCTGTCTTTGCAGAGAGGTCCAGCAGTAACCGTCGTACATTGGGTGTTCAGCTTTCTTGGTCCTTGCAGCGCCTGCCATCCATCATCAAAGTTCAGCTTGTACTGAATTGTAAAGTATGGAGTGTACTTTGATGCCTGCAAGTCAGTGACAGTAGGATCGCCTGCTTTTCTCCCTGGACGGATTGTTTAGTGCTCTCCGACCTTTGCAAAATCTTTGAAAAAGCTGTGGCCCAGGTACACAACTTCAAAGAGCTTGGGGATGCGTCTGGCTTGGAGCATGATGTTCACGTAGTCCATTGGGATGTACATCAGTGCGTTTTAGAGCCATCGTTCAATAGTGCCATGGACTGAATCCACATCCATTTGGATACGGCCCTTGGTGATAATTTCTGCTCAACTGTGATGTTAAGCTCTTTGGCCAGCGAGGCCATTGCACTCACCAGGGTAGCAGTTCTGTTTTAATAGTTGCACCAATCACTGCAGATGATGAAGTGGTTGAAGCCAGTCGCTTGCAATATCAGTTAGTGCGTCAGAACTGTTGAAGCTCAGACCAACTTCACTTTCATCCTTGACATATCATCTGGCGTCTCTGGTGGCAAGATCCTAAATTGTAAAATTGTGTATTGCCAGTTTTGTCTTATAGTATGAGGTGGATGTCTTTAGTGATGAGGCCAGAAGGGCGCACTGGATCCCCACACAAAGGACACACATTTGGTTCTCTGGGTCCAGTGCCGCCTCCCTGTCCTTCTCCTTTTCTTGTCTAGCTGCGGCCTCATATTCATATTTGATGAGCTGTGTATTCTGTTTCTGTGAGGTTTCCTAATTCGAAGCTGGTGCAAATGTCGCACTGGTCTTTCTTGGTTGAAAGTGAACCCAAATTGTTTTTCTTGAACTTTTGGCAGAACACTTGATAGCTCAATGTGGCTTTCACTCTCTCTGCAAAGTTCTCCATGTATACTTGATGCAAATCTGACGTTTTCTGGATTGTAATCTGTAGACACCCCCCCCCCCCCTCAATCCCGTATATTAAGTTATTCGCTTTATAATAATATGACATTTATATTGCGCAAATCCGTGGTAAAATCACTCTTCTATGCGCTTTACTTTTAAATTATTAATTATGGTATTCATGAAAAACATGCATACACATACATGTGACAAAATACACGTATTTCAATACGCTATAAAAATATCGGAACTTTTCCAGAAAAACTTACGGTGTCATTTTAGCACTTTAACCGCACCCGTATAATCAAAATTAGACTAGATCTACATGTCAATGTCATGTAGCCCAGATATCTACCAGTGCGAGATGACATAATATATCGTGCTTGCCGCTCGAGGT